GGAAGGGAGCTCTGCATCACCAGCTCCCTCCCAAATGGACTGACCAGAACAGCAACGGCCCTCCTGACTGTGGGCGGGGGAGAGAGCCTGGTGAGGTTAATCAAAACTGGCGGCCGACGGAGCCGGGAAAAACCTTTTCCCGCCGCACCTCCCCCGCCGAGCCCCCGCCGGGTGATGGGGGGAACGGGGAGCTCAAGGGCAGGAGCCAGAGCCAGCAGATTACCGGCACAGAACACGAGACGAGGAGGTGCTTCCCTCAGTCGCCTCGATGCGCCCCACTTATATGCGCGGAGCGACTCAAGTCGCGATAGACGGAAAACACCCCTTGAGTCCTGCAGCCTCTACACCGGCTCTCGGCTGCCTCTGGCTGACCTCAAGATACGGCCGGGAGCGCGCGGACACGCGTTCACGGAAGGAGGCTGTGTGGACGTGCCCCCCCCGTTCCCCAAATCACATCAACAGGGTCATTACACTGTTGGGGTTCATAATCCTGTTCCCTCCTGGTAAAGCAGGCGGGAATCCCCTCCAGAGCCCCCCCACCCGGCTTTTGGTGAAACACTCGCCTCGGGAAAAGAGCGCGCGCCACAGAGCGATCCACCCGCCCGGAAGTCAAAGTTATTGCGAGGCGCTCAGCAGGGCCGAGTAATCCCTTCGCCGCTCGGGCGACGCTGGGAAGCGTCCCACCATACAGGTGGGAGGGGAGTTTTCTCCCGTGGGAGCCAAGCGCTCCTTAGTCGGGCCCTCCCAGCCAGACGCCTTGTCGTCGTCAAGGGCAGGGCCACTAGAGGAGTTCGCCTTTCTGCAAATGAAGCGAGGACGTAACCGTGCGCCGGGCGTCGGCTTCCTCCTGCCCTTTGGGCTGGGCCCAGGTAGAGGCGGAGGGGCGGCGGCCCTGCAGTCCTCCTGGCAGGCTCTGGTTTTATGACTCTGGCTCGGCGGGGGGGGGGGGCGAGGGGGACTAGGAAAAGAAGGGGGAGGAGGAGGAGGAGGAGATCACCCAGTCTCCTCCCTGCGGGCACAGGAAGGACGAAGCCGCACCTTTTGGAATCTTTTTGAACTAACAAGTCTGGGC